TGTGAACAGGGATGTCACTGACAATCCCTGTTTCTGGAGAAACAAATGTTTCTGGAGAAATATTTGGGAAATTAATGAGGACTCTCGAGATTATAATGAAAGATGTTGCATTTAGCACTAACCAAAAGAGGCCATCGATGCTATATGCTTTCCAATATATTAGACAGTTTCAAGCAATGATAAATTATCTCACGTTCCAGCAGACATTGAAGTGACTGAAAAAAAAGTTTTGTTTACCTGAGCCTATTCCATTTTGCATATGAACACAACTATCTCTTACAAAGTTTTAATACACACTATTCTTCAATAAAAATATTATGTAAATCAAGAGAAGGTGGTATTGCTAAGAGTTGCTCCTTATTTTGGAAAACCACACCATTGAGAGCAAGACCATTCAGGGATTCTGAAATCTCCAGTGCAATGCAATTGTGTTATTTGCACCTGTTTTGGTCAAGTATTCAATTTATCATTCATTTTATCTTCTAGTGCATAATGCCAAACTATTTACATGTTGAAATATATAATATGTTAATATAAATTGTGATTCTGGCAATTCTCTTTTATGTAATAGTTAAGTCATTACTATTTATTACCTTTATTTTCTCTTTGAGGTTATGTGTATAAATTAGTAATCAACATTATTTTCAGTAAGGGAAGGTATCATAAACAACACATTTTAGGTTTTGTAAGCAAAATGTTTTCTGTTGCAGCTATTCAGCTCTGCCATTGTCATGGGAAAGGAAGGCACCCATAAATAATACACAAACAAATGAACATGGCTACAGGCCAACAAAAATTTGATTTTGGACATTGAAATTTAAATTTAATACACTTTTCACATATCATATTATTATTCTTTGATTTTTTTCAACCATTTAAAAACTATAATAGTATTCTTAGCATTTGGGCCCTACAAAAAATAGGCATTGAGATATATTTAATTGGTAAAAACTAGTTAATAATCTCTGTTATAGTATATCAAATTAAAATGTAAAAGTTTATTATTATTATAAAGTACATTTCTTTTATTTTTCCATTATGGTATAGTTAAGGTATCATATTGAGTTTATTTAAATTATATGTGCAAACACTATAAACAAACTTTTTTTTTATTGTTTTATTATTCATATGTGCATACAAGGCTTGGGTCATTTCTCCCCCCTGCCCCCACTCCCTCCCTTACCACACACTCCGCCCCCTCCCTCTCCCCCCCACCCCCTCAATACCCAGCAGAAACTATTTTGCCCTTGTCTCTAATTTTGTTGAAGAGAGACATAAGCAATAATAGGAAGGAACAAGTGTTCCTGGTTGAGATAAGGATAGCTATACAGGGAGTTGACTCACATTAATTTCCTGTGCGTGTGTGTTACCTTCTAGGTTAGTTCTTTTTGATCTAACCTTTTCTCTAGTTCCTGGTCCCCTTTTCCTATTGGCCTCAGTTGCTTTTAAGGTATCTGCTTTAGTCTCTCTGCGTTAAGGGCAACAACTGCTAGCTAATTTTTTTTGGTGTCTTACCTATCCTCACCCCTCCCTTGTGTGCTCTCGCTTTTATCATGTGCTCAAAGTCCAATCCCATTGTTGTGTTTGCCCTTGATCTAATGTCCACATATGAGGGAGAACATACGAATTTTGGTCTTTTGGGCCAGGCTAACCTCACTCAGAATGATGTTCTCCAATTCCATCCATTTACCAGCGAATGATAACATTTCGTTCTTCTTCATGGCTGCATAAAATTCCATTGTGTATAGATACCACATTTTCTTAATCCATTCGTCAGTGGTGGGGCATCTTGGCTGTTTCCATAACTTGGCTATTGTGAATAGTGCCGCAATAAACATGGGTGTGTAGGTGCCTCTGGAGTAACCTGTGTCACAGTCTTTTGGGTATATCCCCAAGAGTGGCATTGCTGGATCAAATGGTAGATTGATGTCTAGCTTTTTAAGTAGCCTCCAAATATTTTTCCAGAGTGGTTGTACTAGTTTACATTCCCACCAATAGTGTATGAGGGTTCCTTTTTCCCCGCATCGTCACCAACACCTGTTGTTCGTGTTGTTGCTAATGATGGCTATTCTAACAGGGGTGAGGTGAAATCTTAGTGTGGTTTTAATTTGCAGTTCTTTTATAGCTAGAGATGCTGAGCATTTTTTCATGTGTTTTTTGGCCATTTGAATTTCGTCTTTTGAGAAAGTTCTGTTTAGTTCACTTGCCCATTTCTTTATTGGTTCATTAGTTTTGGGAGAATTTAGTTTTTTAAGTTCCCTATATATTCTGGTTATCAGTCCTTTGTCTGATGTGTAGCTGGCAAATATTTTCTCCCACTCTATGGGTGTTCTCTTCAGTTTAGAGACCACTTCTTTTGATGAACAGAAGCTTTTTAGTTTTATGAGGTCCAATTTATCTATGCTATCTCTTAGTTGCCGTGCTGCTGGGGTTTCATTGAGAAAGTTCTTACCTATACCTACTAACTCCAGAGTACTTCCTACTCTTTCCTTAAACAAACTTTTTGTAAGTTAGTTTGGCAGAAAATTTTTGAGTGCTGCATGAATCTTTTGTTTGAGTAATGAAACATTTGCAAGAAAATACAGTTTCTCCAAAAACTCACTCTTACAATAAAGTGAGAAAGCTGTATTTATTAAATTGTTTATTGACATGCAACAACCCTGTTTGGTTAAAAGTTGGTGCATCTTGATAAAACTCAGAAATTCCTGTCTGTGATAAGGAAAATTAATCCTGGCTTATTTGTCATGCAGACAATTAGATGATATTCCCAGTTCTTTGGTTTTAGACTTGTAGAAATATACATCCTTTCCAGACTGGGGACATGCTCCATGACCATTTGAGTTGGGCTAAAATTTCATTTTGTAGGATATCAAGGTTTACTTTTGATTTGTTTTGTTTAGATAGGTTGTTCTGTGTGTGAATTATATGCAATTTGATTCCAGATGAGTATTATGAAGTGTTATTTCAAAAAAGAGCCATTAGGTCTGAATGCATTGTGTAACATGTGATCTCAAGAATCTCTAAGCCTTTGGGAATCCCCTCTTGCTTCTGTGAGGACTCTGATGAATTGAGGAAGAGAAGGAGGGAGGATCAGTGCCAAGTTTGAGAAAGGGAAAAAAATTAGACACTTTCTGAATTCAAAACCATTTCTCTGTAACACAAAGAAATTTCCTTTGTCTATACTTGATGAACTTTGTAGTTGTTTAACTCTTGATCTGGTTTCTTGATTTGCTTAGGCCTAAAGATCTCTTGGCTGACTTCAAGTCTCCTGAGGCTCTCTAATGCTAAAGTTCCAAGAGTCTCTATTAAATATTGCATGTGGTCCCAGGTCATACAGAACTTCCCAAGCTCTGCTCTCTTTCTTTCTTTTTTTTTCTTTTTTTCTCAGTACTGGGGCTTGAACTCAACCTATACTTTGTGCCACTCCACAAGTCATTTTTATTTTCTGAAGGGTTCTTTTGAGATAGGGTCTAACAAACTATTTGCCCAGGCTGGCTTCAAACCATGATCGTCCTGATCTCTGCACCCTGAGCAGCTAGGATTACAGGCATGAGCCAGGGGCACCTGGCCTCTACTCTCCTTTGAAGTCACTTCTTCCTTTGCCTACTGCCTCAGAATAGATGCCCTGGCTGTCAGCTTGGCTGCCTTCAGGATCCTCCTCAAAGACAATGGAAACATCTGACCTTCATCCATTCCACATGGGAACAGAATAGTAGAAAATCTGATGTATTTTGATGCCTCCATTGCTTAGATTTATGCTGAGCAAAATAAAAGGTATAGCTTTCCACATCCTTCAATAAGTTCTTCCCAGGGGTAGCAGTGCATGCCTGTAATCCCTGTACTTGGGTAGTAGAGGCAGGAGAATAGAGAGGTTGGGGCCAGCCTAGGCTACACGGAGAGACCCTTTCTGATTCTCTGTCCATTTTCTATTTGTTTCTGAAGTTTTCTAGCCCCTCTGGCAGTTCCAGAAGTAGACTTCTCTTTTACTTACCCTATGTCATACAACCACAGGGGTTCAGGCTACAGGGATCTTAGTGTCATAGGCAGAAAAAAGACACTTGGAGTTAAACACCACAAACTCATCTGGAAGCTAAAGGAATTTAGCAAATCCTGTGTCCACACAAAGCTTGTTTTCAAATGCATCATCTTCTGACCATTCTCTCTAAATAAGAATGATGAGTCTTGAGGCTAGGACTTTGAAGAGGACATCTGCAAAAAAAGATTGAAGTGAAGATTTAACTTCTGCTATATACAAGCTAAATTTCCAAGTATGGTTAAATCTATTTTATTTTCCCCCAATGTGACTGAGAACTGAATGTATTTTAGTTAACAAAGGGACAACACATTTATGTGTCACCTAGACTTTGGCATATACATGCATGTGTAATGGGCTTTTGCCAATTCACCTGTCAACTGTCATGAATCAAGGATTATTCTGAGGTTATAGCACTATGACCTCATAGATCCCTATAATATTTCCTAATATCTTGAGTACTATACCCCTTTTCTCCTTGAAGTAAAAATACGCCATGATGGTTATTTATATTCTTGTTTTCATTTTTCTGAGAACTGAAGGAAGCTGGCTGGTCATACCATTCAGCCTTCTAGAAAAACTCCCACCCTCTCCAAACACAACAATGCATATTCAGGGTCTTGCCTGGCTGGTGGATGCAACTGCCTCTCCTCAAGTCCAGTTTTGTGTGTGTGTGTGGCAGGTGAAAAGAGGACAGTCACACAAGTTGCATGGAACATAAATACATAATTACTGTCTCTTTCACTACCATCAAAGTATCCATGTACTTTTTATAAAAATCTCTGACATATTTATACATTAGTGATGTATTTGAAAAAAAAACAAGGGAAAAGAAGATTGTTAATATAGTTTGGCTTTGGGATTAAAAGGGCCTTTAATGGATGTTCATCCTTCTTGTTCAGGTATCCAGGATATAGTGCATCAATACTATCACCTTATTCTATCTTTTCTGTTGCTTTTCCTTTAGCTCAACAGAATTCACCAAAAATCCATGAAGGCTGGTGGGCATACAAGGAGGTGGTCCAGGGAAGCTTTGTTCCAGGTAAATAAAATTTGTTGTTATTTATTTTGTTTAGGTTTTTAAAAAAGAATTTTGTGCTTAAATATTTTTTAAGGAGATGAAAATGCTGACTATCCTGGTTTAATCATTGCATATCATATACATGCATTGAATTATCATGCTATACTCCATATATATGTACATCGTGGTGACAATTTTAAAAATAAAAACCAGAATTTGGATTAAAACTAGTGTTGTTCCTAGAATGCTACATCTGCAACATGGTACAAAATGCATTGTAAACAGTACCACAGTCTAACTTACTTAATTTACTTGTTGGATGAATACTGAGAGAATGTATTGGATTATTGGACTGGAGGTGTGACTCAAGCCTGAAGCCCTGAGTTCAAACTCCAGTCCCAACAACAACAAAAAGAAACAGAACATTTATTATGTGAGTGGCAACTTAACCAGAATGCAGTTTTTTTTCCCATCTGAGCCTGTAATCCCAAGGTCCTTCTACCTACAGGAGGCTCCATCAGGAAGAGGAGAATGGAGGATTGAGAGCTAAAACTCTGTCTGCCCATATTTGGTTAAGTACAGAAGGACCATTTCTTAACATTAATGAAACAGGAAACATGAAATGGCTGACCATGGCAGGAAGCTTGCTGGGATGCATGCTGTCACTAATGTCACTTCAGTAGCATCCATGGTTAGGATTCAATAGATTGAGTTAAGCACAAGCTAAAAATAACAGGTGAAGTGTAAACTGTCAGCATGGGGGCAGAAGACAGAGAACCAAAGACAGGATAGAGCCAGAAACACCCATGACTTTAGTTTCGAAGCAAGGAGGACAGTCCTTATCTTCTCCCACCTTTCTTACACCCATTTATGATCCTTATCCTTCTGCTGTTGAAAGATTGCAGTGGGGAGATATGCAAGGGAGGAAGCAAGAATATTGAAGGAAGGATATGAGGAAGGTAGTCAAGATATTTCAAGGTATTTTTAACTTATTAGGTGTGAGGAGAGCCAGAAAAAAAGTTCTCAAGAAGAGTCAATGTATGGACCCCACCCACTCAGGCACAAAAAACAGAGGGCCAGAAGTTTCAGTGAGGTTTCTGTATTTAGTAGCAGGTAGAAAGAGGAGTGTCCAGACCACCTGTTTCATTCCTGGCTATTATGTCTCTTTTTTTCTTGTTCTTCTCTAGAGTTCATTATGTGAGTTGTGCAGAGCTAAGCAAGGACCAAAGCCTTCTAAGCATCTCCTTTCTCATTTGAAATGCAGGGCAATAATAGATATACTTGTGGTTTTCCAATAGGAAGAAGACAGACATGGTGAGGGAGAGTGGGTGACTCAGTAAAAAGTCAGCTGGCTGCTAGATAGCCTCAGAGATCAACATTATTAATTTGATAAATTTATATAGCATTTCTATTCTTTGGTTCAAGAAACTCAACTAATTCATCTAAATGGCCAGATTTCTAATAAAAATCTTGTAATGATACAACTGACACAGCTATGTTCACATAAAATTATATAGATACCCGGAATTTGATACTTGTAATTAGGACCATTTTCAGAGGAATGTGCTTTTCATCTTCAAGATTTTCTTTTCCAGAAATTACATTTGTACTTAATATTTTTGTACCTTGTACTTAATATTTTTGACCTTGTAAGTATGGAATTAGAGCAAGAAAAGGGATTCCCTCCAGGTTGTAATAAGTCTTCCTAATTTACCTCTAGCCCTACAGAGAGTATCCTCTGTAGTGATTGAAATGACTGTGGATAGCAGTGGGTGGTCACTGCAAGATTTTGCTTTTCTGGTATACTTTTTTATATTTTCCCTCTGTTGTCGTATTCTTTCTTTATATATGTTTCAGGCTGTATTTTGAATTGGTTGTTGCTTCTGAAGCAACTGCAGGAAAGAATTTCCATCTTTCCTTTAGATACTGATTTTAAAAAGTTTAAGTTTCTCTCATGTACAGCCAAGGCCTGTTTGGCATAACAATTGTGAACCAGTGACTTTGACAAAGTTTGTAGTAATAGAAACATGGGAATTTTATAGCAATGACAAGTAAATGGTTAATATGGCAGCAGAATACCCTATTTTGGTCAGTTCAACAGCTTTTATTAGGTACTTATTAGAATGCCATGTTTGTGGTTAATAAAGAGGTAACTGACATGTTTCATCCACGAAACAAAAATCCAAATGGGAAGATATGCCATGGACCCATGACTCAGGATAACAAGGGTTCAAATAGAGTTTGTACAACATGCGAAGCATCATGATTCTGCCTCCTGTTGCTTAATACACATTCTGCTTACCTGCTCAAATGCGTACTGTCACCTGACCTCACCCACAGCCAGGGTCTGCCTTGCAGGTGAAACTCACATTTTCTTTGACTGTTCACCCTCTGCGTAGCCATGTACTCAGGAAAGGAGCCCCTTCCCAGGCCCATCTTGTCTAGTATCTATACCATCCATGGTAATTTGCTTCTTTTCCTTGCCAGTGATTGGCTTAAACATTGTGATGGCTAATTTTGTGTGTCAGTTTGACTAGACCCTGGTATCCAAATATTTGGATGTTGGCATGAAGAGTTTTTTTTTTTCATAAGAATAACTTTAAGTAAGCTAGTCTCCAAAATGATGTGAGCCAATTCCTTACATCAATTTCTTTCTCCCTCTCCTTCTCTTCCATCCATTCTGTCAGTTCTATTTTTCTGGGGAACTAACTAATACACTAATACAGACATGACTGTATGATTATCCATGGCATAATAGGAGGGGAAATTTGCTGAATAAACTTGGAGACAATAGGAGCACTGAAGATGGCAGAATGGAAAGTTGAAAAGAATTCATATCCTTTATGGCCCACTTGAGGGTTGATTTAGTCATGAATCTGCCTCACCACTGATTTTGTTTAATGAGATTATGTTTTTTGCTTGAACCACTTCAGGTCAGCTTTCTGTTATTTATAGTCCAAAGCATTCTTCCAGATTCAAGAGTCTCAATACAAGGTTAAAGGAGGAAAGAAGTTAGAACTGGATCTTGACAGTGTGCAGAATTACTCTACGTGGAGAAGTAGGAGAATGTGAGGAATATCAAACACAGGCACAGAGGGGTGAAAATGCATCTTGGTTCTAGGGAGTGGTGGGTACTTCTGCCTGCCTGTGAAGCAGAGCACAGAGTGAAGCATGAGCAAGGAGGCTAGTGAGGTTGGTCGGGGCAGATTATGAAATTTTGTGATTCGGGATTTAGAATCAGCTCTATAAAAATACAGGAATTATAAGACATTTCTAAGCTCTGATGAGACAGAATCAAATGGGTATTTTGTAAGTCCAAATATGTTCACAGTGATAAGAGTTGACTATATTTTGATGAGGATAAAAGAGGCAGAAAGATCAATGAGGTGGTTTATTTTTTAATTGTCCAGGCAAGAGAGACAAACTAGAAAATCAAGACTATAAAATCAAGAATATTGGGTTGACCATGATGTTAAAGAATTAGCACCAACTTTGTTTAGTAGCATTTAAGGTGTGTCTATAAAAGCTATATATGTAGTATGTATATCACATATAGCATATTTATAATTTAGCATAAGTGGACACACATATTTAACACACATCATGAAAATCTGTGATAAGTATTGTCTATTCACATTCAGTTTCTCCAAAGCAGTAGGAAATTGACCATTCTCTCTAGAAGAGATACTACAGTAGGAATTGTTACTACAAAATGATATGACCTCTAATTTCTTGGAGGTTACAATCTAGTGGGAGAGTCATTTGCTAAAAATAATAAGTAGCCCCTTTGTACCACAGTGTCTGCTTTGTGTAGTAATGCTTGAAAGGGGCATCTCCATCTTTTTTAGACTGGAACAAAGCATCTGGAGCTTGCTTCCCTCGTAAAGAATTACATCAGGACTCCTGTATGAATTTTTTCAACTTTATGAAGCCTTAGGGAAGGAGAAAGTCTATCTTAGATCTGTCACCTCCAAAGGACCACTGTCAGGTGTCTGGACCTACGCTCCTCAGTTCATTTGTCCATCAAGCTCTCCCTGAACCTGCTCTCAATATGACCATACTTGGTCCTGGGTGGATAAGTTCCACCCAGAGGTTCCACTGTGGCCTCAAGGAGCTAAGAATAGTGGCAGAGATGGCAAATGTCTACTGTCTTACACCATTTCCTGGAGTCTCGCAGAGAGTATTTAGAGTTTACCAAGTCCAAAATCGCAAGGATGGCATCCAAGAGGAGGCAATGCCCTGATGACAGTCAGATTCTCTGGGGAGGAAGAGGTAAAATGGTATTTCAAAAGGAAGCAAGATAGGCAAAGGCCTGGAAGCCTGGAAGGTCATGGTTCACTGAAGCAAGAGTTCAGGAAGTTAAGGCAGAAGAAAACAGCGAAGACCTGGCCATGGAGTGCTATACAAACTGGAAGTCAGGCTTTTACTCTAAAGGCACTGAAAACCCAAGGGAAGTGAAACTAATTCAGAAATCAAGTGGGGAAGGAGGGTGGTGTGAGCTAAGATAGAGGCATAAGAAACTCCGGGGAGCATCCAACTTCTAGAGAGAGGGACCTCCTCTCCTCCACCATCTACCTCTTTAGGATATACCCCACATCCTGTATGCTATAGGGGCTCAATGTCTGCTAAACTGACTTAGGTCAGACAGACGTGAATCTTTGTTCCTCAAGAAAGAGAAAGACAGAAAGAATGGGCTGACTCTGGAGACAGCTGTTCTTCAGCCCTGGAAAAATTATTATTGTAATACAGCAACAACAATAGTAATAAATATAGCAGTAAAATCCACAGTATGTGCTACAAAGGGAAAGCCCTGTGTGTTTTGAGATCCAGAAGAAATAGTTCGGAGATCAGGAAGGGCCTCCTTCTGAAGCAGCAGACTGCAGGCTAAGATTGGAGTTACAAGATATACTACCAGTGTGACTTTAAAAAGGCACAAAAATGAGCCTGATTTATGGCTCGGAGGCAAACATGAGCATAACATATATAAGAAATGGGACAAAGGTCACTGTGGCCAGAGCATA